TCCTGCTGTCTCTATTTCTTGAGTTGTTTTTTTAATTGCCTAATAGAATGACAGTGTTCAATGTACACTTGGGATTGTGCTTTCAAGTTCTTGCACATTAAGTCTAGAGGCTTACTAGAGAAAAAATTCTCCTGCAGTCACTTAAATTTGGGAGGCATAAAAATAGAAACAGAGTTGGAAAGGACTTTTGAAAGCCATCTAATCCAACCTACCCTTTGAAATGGAACAATCATCAGATCAGGTCAGTCATGGTATGTCTGGCCAAGTCCTGCAAGCCTCTGAGGATGAAGAGTCCAAAACCTGTCTGGGCAGCCAGTCCCAGTAATGCACTAACCTCCTAGTGGAGAAGTTTATCATGATGTCCAGCCACATCCTGTCAAGCTGCAGTTTGTGCCCCTTGCTGTGACTTCTGGTGCTACCAGGAACAGTTTATCTTCATCCTTGCAATTGCTCTTCAAAGAGTGGTAGGCAGCTAACAAGAGTACCATTTGTCTCCTTTCTGCCAGACTGAACAGGACCATCTCTTTCACCCTCTCCTTATAGGTCATACATGCTAGGCCCCTGAGCATCTCAGTAGCTTTCTGCTGGCCTGTGTCTTCTCCACATTTTTCTTCAAGTGGAGTGTCAGAAAATGGTATGATAATTTGGGAGTATTCAAAAAGAATGTAAAATATCCCAATATGTAGCTTTTGGTTCAATGGCAGCATAAGAAAAACTATCCGCTGGATGTTGTCATCTCCTGATTTCATTTGCAGTTTTCACACTCCTCTTCTTGTGGTGGCCATAGTTCTCTCTTTAACTTCCATGAAATCTTTCAGAGGAGCAAGTCAACAGAAAACTAACTCACTAACTACTTTGCTCTCAAGTTAGCATGCTGAAACTTCTCACCAAAGGGTGAAATGAAGGCTGGATCTGCCACAAGCGCCAGAGGTGGGATAACTTAGCCGCACGCAGCAGCACTGCAGCAGTCAGCAGTTAGGGGTTAAGCATAGCATAAAACATGCTGTGTCAGCAGGCCTACTCTTATATAAGCCAGGATGAAGCACAGGAAACAGGCAACAGCATCAAAATTTAAATTATTCCAGTAACCCTTATATATGTGCACCACATAAAGTTTTCAATAGTGAATAACCCATAAATTTGTGCTATTCTGGACAAAGAGAGGAGGTCTCTTTTGCTACAGACTCACCTGTTTAAATCCAGTCATGACTGACTTTTTACTGGTATATCATACTGAAATAGCTCATACTGCATTTTGAACATTGCATGCTGCAGGAAACAAGATTATATCCATCAGAAGCCTGAATTGCTCAATATGCCTTTTGGGGTATGTTCTAATAACCCATTAGAACATTTCTGGATTCAATTAAAAAAAAATACGAAGCCAACCAATGCTGTATTGCAAGGACAACTATTTAGGCTTTTTCAGCCTAGAACTGACAAAAATTTCCCACTGGATTGGAGGAACATTAGTGTTTAACTTACTTTTTCTCCCTTTGGTCCCGGTGGGCCAACCACTCCATCAAGACCAGGAAGACCTTGAGGACCCTGTGAAAGATAGCAAATCTAAGGAGAGTGTCTTTCAGTAACCTTCCTCCCAGCACATGCAGCTAAGTATTTTGAATCATCTAATGATAAAACAATGTGAAAGACTGTATTCTGATGCATAGCAGTGCATTCAATTTTAATCTTAGTGCTTCATATTTTCTGAGAATTTGGCTTAGTATATATTTAAATATAAAACAATATCTTTTTCATATAAAAATAAAGTAAAAATTATTATTAAAGCAATATCAGCAGGTTTTGACAACACTGTACTACATGTGTAGCTGGACTCCACAAGCAGCTCAGCCATCCATCCCTTTGCCACGCCAATGCCAGCCCAATGCTGAGATCAAGTGGGTAATGCCAAAGTCAGAAAGTGGCCCCTGTTTTCCATCTAATGCTTCTCTCTAATTTTTCCTTTAGTAACGTGTATTTAGCTCTCCATCTTATTTCCTTTGCTGTTTCTGTGACTGAGCATGTGACTGAAGGAATACCCACACAGGGAAAGAACTGGATTTGTAGGGCCAACCAGTCAACGAATACAGTTACTGGAGTCCAATCCACAGTAACTAGATATGCAAGAAAGGGCATAGTTGCATACATATTGCAATGATTTACATTTTAAAACTTTGGCCTTGCAAGATTTTAATTATATTTACAGATGTGCAGTCTGGCCTCTGAGAATTATATATCAATTTATTTATTGATCTGTTTTGGAGGAGTAAATAAATGGGTTATAGAAAGAGAGAGGAAAACAATCTTTTTCTCTGTTATTTTCAGAATCACCTGCTCTCCTCACTTTTTTGTATTACTATTTTTGTCCTTTTTATGTACTATATGTGATAGAAAAGCTGATAGATTATTTTTATTATTAAAATATAAGAAATATTTTCTGCAGATCTGAAACATATTTTTGTGTTGCATTTTGTCATGATTACCTAGATAGAGGACAGAGAGAAGAGCGGTTGGAGTAACAACATAAATTGTCCTAATTTTTTATGACTCTTTTACGTAAACTGCCAAACGATTTCATATCTTATTGCTATACAATTGCTTATTTTCTTTACAGCTTTTGAACAGTCTCTCTTACGTAGATATTAAGCAACACTTGGAGATTTGTGATTCCTTTCAGGATTAATCCATGTGTTTGCGTGTTACTTGAGGTAATTTACACTTATGGAGCATTTCAAAAATATGAAAGTAATCAGATGAATATCACATTCAATGTGGAACAGTTAATGAAAGCAGTATTTCACATTACAAAAAGCAGTTTTTATTCAAGCATTTTCAAGACATGATTCTCACAAAAGAACTGTTACATGATGAAGTCACTGACTCAGCAAGGTCTAAGCCCAGGGATATCTGCAAGTAAACACCTACTCTTTTGAAACCAGGATTCACAATTCAAGAGTGCTAACTGCACAGCTATTTCATTGCCTTATTGAATCAAAATTCCCTGCTTCAAATTGCTTCTGTGAATAAATCCCACTGCATTTTCACAGTGTGTGTGAGGCTAAATGTTTGTATAAATCTTTCGAGGGCTGGCTTACAGTCTTTTAGATCACCCAACACATGCATGGGTCTGTACTCTTAATAGCTGGATTTCAGCAATCTACAAATTGATCTGATTTAATCTTGATCATGATCTGTCATGATCAGATTCTCCCTAAAACTTATTTTAGTAGCATGGTTAGATCAGGAGTTATTAGTCTCTCAGGAATTATTGTGAAAGTAAGCAATGATTTCTAGTGCATCAGATACACAAAGGTAGTCAGTATTATAGTTTGTGAAATGCTAGATTATATAACAGGGAAGATGTTTATCTTTAAAATGGAAGATGAGCGTAACATGAACACATATTCCTCCATTTTATTTGAATATGTTTCATACAATTAATTTTGGAGAACCCTTTTTAACAAATGTCACAGATCATTTTTGCTACTTTTCCTTCCACAGATACAGAACCTGTCATGGTGTTAAATGCACATTTTTAACATAGACTGCACTTTGACAAATACAGCAAATGAAGCATTAGGACAACAGTCAGTTTTGCTATATATGCTAAAAGATTTCCATTAAAATGCAGTCATAATAATCAGTACAATCTGATCTATCTTGGATGCAGGTTAACAACAATAGTAATAAAAAAGACAGTTCAAAACAACAGCTCATAACAACCAATTCCAATACAGCCCACTCTTTTCTTATGACTGACATGGAGAAATTTTCCACCTTCCAAACTTCATGAATCATTTCTGCTTAGGTCAAAGTCTATATATAATTAAGATGTTGTCTCTTAATTTCTTTTCTTTCAGATATGGTCCAAGGCCATACAGACTTCTTGTTTATGTTACAGGGATGAAAAGCAGTGTTTTAAAATTTTATCACTGTATCTAATGTACAAGATCTGAACTGACTGAATAAATGTGCTTTTTTTTTTTTTTTGCACATCTCTACCATTCTTCTTTTCCACTATTAATTCTAGACATGTCTTTGTAAAATTTCAGAAACTTTGTCTAAATAAAGAATATTCCCTGGTAGCATGATGGTGCTAAGCTCCTTAATTTTATTGAAAAAAATGATTATCAATTTAAAATATGTAAGAACACAGGGAAATAGCACTGAGCTGTACTGACAACTAGTAAAGACAGGCCAGGCACTGCATTCACGTATAAAAATGCCTTTTACTTAGTTATATTCTGTAAGATCTTTTGTTCATGCTTGAAATGAGACAATTGACACAATTATTTATCTATCTAAATCACTGCAGTACTATGGTTTATAGCACTTGCTCATCTTCTAGTGTGAAGCATTCATAGCAGTTAGTGGGAAATATTTATGGCTATTAGTAGCACATTTTAAGAAAGCATTTGAACAAGTTCCTTACGACTCCCCAGGAATACTGTAATCTTGAAACATTCTTGGAAATCTAGTGACATCTGGTGAAGTCTCACCTAGAATCAGGTGAGAGTCTCAGCTTTGAACCAACATAACAAGATACTGACTCTTTTAGTTGGCCTGGCATATAGCAAAGGAGCTCCAAAAAACTTGACCGCCTTTTCAATCACTGCAGAAAACATTTGAGAGAGGCTGATAGATCATGTAGGGTGAGCAACGACACACTGATCAAAACAATGCATAGTTCAAAGCAATGATCAAAAAATGAGCAAAGCAATGATCAAAACTATGCATAGTTCAGCAGCATCTGTGTACTACTACATACTCTATACTCCATTAATTTAGACTCCCATCGAATTTAGACGGGTCAGTACGCATACAGTTTATTCTTAGAATAAACCTCTTGAGACTTCAAAGTTCCTCTCTTTGGTGGACACTTTCATCTAGGAATGGCCTAAAGCCTGGGTCAACAACAATTAGTGATGTTCATACCCCCTTGTAGCCTGAGACTGTGATATCTAGCTTCTTACAGAAAAGGACTAGCTGTTGGAATAGGGCTTGGAAGTACTGGATGAAGGGATCTCTCTAGAGCGCTAAGTAAAATTTCATATAAACAACACAAACTACTTTCAGTGTTTCCTTATTGGCTAATTCAGGTGTAATTACATCCTCAGCTTTTTTTTTTTTCTTTTTTTTTTCTTTTTCCTTTTTTTTTTTCTGACTACCAATGTAACTGATATTTGGATCTCATTCAAAAAAAATTTCAAGTATCTAATGTCTCTTGCCAAGGATGTTGGGTTCCTCCTTGAAGACCAGACACATAGAAGCTTAAAGTTACAGTACTGACCTTTTGTTTTGTGTGTGTGTTTGGTATTATCCTCTCACTTTGTTATCCATGAAAATTTCACGCAACTGAGATGCAGTGAGATCTCCTGTTTAATAGATGTCACCAATACACTTCTCTAATATGCATCAGTTAAACTTTGTCAGACACAGAAAGAGTGAGCTGATTTGTTGCTGATATGAAAGCACAGATAAAATTTAGTCCTCAGAACACCTGTTACTCACAAATAGTTGATAGGGGATGAAAGAACAATATTTGCTATAGGATCCAGAGAAGACTCATAGATCTGATATATGAAAAAAAAAAAAATAATAATAATAAAAAAACACCTAGGACTATATATGCTCACAGTATCAAGTGTTTCTGCCTAACTGAAGACAAGGCAGGAAGACAATGCTGAAAAAGAAAAATACTAGTTTCAGATTATGTAAGTGATGTAGCCACCTTCATTTTCCTGAAAACATCACATGAAAAAAAATCTTAGCTTTATTCGGTGTTGGTAAAACCATCCTTAGCTTTTAATCATTCTGGTCCAGATTCACCAGTTTTTCTCTGTGTTGTTTTCCAGAAATATCAGGAAAAAAAAATCCAAGCCCTACAATTAACAATATTCTACCATATTGCTAAGAATGTAATGAACTGTAAGCCTTAGCATTTATTGCTGGAATAACATTACTGTTTGTGCACAGGTGGATACTCACTTCAGGACCTGGTTCTCCAGAAGCCCCATCTTCCCCTGGTGACCCAGGAAGTCCTACATTTGAATCAGGTGCTGGTTTTCCTGGAAGACCTGGCAATCCTGGAGGGCCTGGTGGCCCAGGAAGACCCTGCATAAATCAGCAGCGTTGTTAGAAAGCTGTTAGTGTTAGAGAGCCCTTCAGTTCTTTCCTGGTCAAGTTAATTTCCTTAATGTAGATGGAACATTTAAATGCATAAAACTCTGATTGGGTCACTATCTCCCTTTCATTTCTTTAAGAAACTGTTCTCTCTTCACAGACATACTCTTTAAGTAGGGATCATGCTGACCTCCTCTATCCTTGCTCTCTGAATTGCGTCTTGCGCCTCTTCATTACACATGCAATGGAAATAAGTTAAAAATTGAAAAATTGTCTGCTTTCTGTAAATCCAGTAAAGACCATAGAGATTTTCCAGTGACCATCTACTGTTAATAAGTTTAACCAAAATGACATCAAGAGATCACAGATTTACAGATTCCCCCACTGATTTCCAAAGGCTTCTCCATGCTACTGCTGTAGCATTGAGAAACTGAACCTGACCTGACTCTCCTTGGTGCTATAAAAATGGACTCTGTTTCAAAGATTTGCCTGCATGGCCATGAGCAGATCTATTTAAACTGATCAAAATGAATGACGTGTTATTTTGCGAGAAGTAGTATGATTGTGAAATTCTCAAGTGCAATCCATTCTTATCACTGATCCCTCATATTGGCAGATAAATATCGAGGATATTTCGAACTTTAGGGGCATGGGTCTGCAAGACAAGCAACTCTCCAACACTGTCCTAGGATTCTGCTAGGAAGCCAGTCATCTTGAATTTTCAATATGTCAACCCACTCTTCTCTAAGTTGCTGCTCCCAGCACCTATGCTAGCTATCTCCATCCTTTAACTATATACGGCATCTAAAGAGACTGGTCTTTTGATTTTGGCAAGTTAACTAGCTTTCAACACAAGATGATTCCTTCCTGAAAGGCCTTGGGAATAAGGTAGCCAGCACTTAGGCAGAAAGAAGGGACAGGAAATAAGCCTTGATGCAGAAATTGATTTGGGAGATGAAGACATAGTTTAGGAAAGAGACATTCAAGGATTTCATTTCTCATGAAGTTTCATTACTGATGAAAGACTCTAGTCAAAACACACAAAGGCTCTATCCCAAAGACTCTAGAAAACCTTCAGTTTGTCTAGAGGGATCATTAAAAGCCTTCACACTTAAGTTTCTTCATCTTCTGTCACTTGGCTTTTCATTTTCCTAATAGTTCTGCCTAACTGTAATATTTCCCCTCATTCATTATATTTCTGACTGAATCGCTGGATAGAAAACCCTGTCATTTGAAACTCATTCAGAAATACATATTTCATACTTTACTATCAGCATTTTTAATAGGAACTAAGCCAAGCTTGGTCTGGTTGGTTGTCTACAGGTAATAAGAAGCAGAAATGTTTCAAGAGCAAGACAAAACATGCAAACTACTTCCAAAGTCTATCTGGCGGCAAGTTCTAGTTACATGGGAAGCAACTGCTTTGGCTGTCCCAGCTTCATCATTGTCACAGCCAAGCGTGTCAATAGCCTGAGGCTCAGGTTTTACCCGGGGTGAACACTCCTTGACATCAGAAGTCTGAGGCTACACAGTAATTAATGTAGGAATGTGCATCGAAGTCATAGTAACTTTTGCTGGCTCAGAGCATCTCTCTGATATCCAGCCTTGATGTGACAACGTTACATTTCTTCACAAAGGCAAGCATAGAAGAAAGTGCAAATGGCCATCAAAATAGATCAACAATGTAAGGGTTCAGTGCAAAGTGTTTCATATAGGCATATTTTTTACTTTTTTAAAGAACAAGTTCTCCAAATTAAAATAAATAACAAATTCCTATTTCTTTCATCTTTACTGCCTTCTCAGAATCAAGTTAAAAGCATCTTTTCCTTTAGAAAAGTCCTCTTGGCATTATTTCTTTGTTTTCCTCTTTTCTCAAACCCTACATGCACTTACGCCTTTCCCTAATACACAGTGATTGTTGCAGAGAGCTGGGAGAGAAAAATAAACTTCTACTCGGGTTTCCTCTTTGGTTTTCTTTGCCTTCCTTCATATCATAGCTCAAATATTTTTTTCAAAATCTAGGAATGAAACCCTAACATTTCACAGCAAAGAGTTTCTGAATGTTGTGAATTACGTATGTTCTACAAAATGACAGGATATGCATTGTGAAATTATATCAGTGTCAATGAAAGTGGAGCTTTTACAACCTGGATGAGAAAAATAATGCTCTTTATTATATTTATTCACATTAATGGAAAATGAATATCAATATACACTTACGCTTAAAATCTCAGTCTCTTCATCAAGGTCTCCAGAACCTGATTCTTCAGGTTCCAGTATACTCTGAAAGTAGGAGAATTAAATTTTAAAATATTGCTTGCAAAGACAGTAAACAAAAACATCTCTTTTCATATACTGCAAATATCATTATGTTCAGCATCCTTTCAGCAGAATGTTGCTAGTGAAATGATGCCTTTGAATTTCAACTAACTTGTGGATCTAAAGGCCACAGAAGCATTTCAGTCAGATTTTTTGGTGAGTTTCATGTAAGTTTATTGTGTAGATACTGGACTCCATATTTACCTACAGATGATTTACAGTGACAGAAATTCTGCAGGACCTAGGTGACATTGTGACTATGGAGGTGGACTGAAGACTCTACCTAAAAAATTAGTTTAGCTTTAGAAAGATACTCATCACCACTAAGGATATCCTAAAATGCATATCTAACAACTAGTTTCCTTCATTCCATAAGTTCCTTCAATGTGCCCCCAGCTCAAAAGACAATGATGACAGATGATATTTCCATAGCTAAGATCAGAAGAGATATTTTAAAAAGAGTAAATAGTAAACTAAGGCATTTTCTAAAATACTGAATTAGAAAAGCTCTACTTGGTTTTCTATCACAGTCTGTCTGTACGGATTTATAACACAAATCCATGGACCCAAACTTCTTAGATTCTTAGACCCAAACTTAGATTCAAACCATCTTTCTGTATTATGGAAACAGATATAGGAGCATATGGAACATATAGTGTAAAGTAGAATCAGCATGGATGCTGCAGAAGTATTTTGAAAGAAAAAAAATCTTTTTCATGGAAAGTTTGCCATGATTGGTCTGATTAATATAAAGGAAAGTGAAATGAAATCCAGCTATCCATTTTTTTATATCACAGAACTTTAAAAGTGCTATAAATTTTAATAGAACTCATAATTTAAAGAATTAAAAGGAATAAACCAAAATGTCCAACAAACAATTCTTGGCAATTGAAATACTACTTTTCTACATGTATGAGTTCTACCACATTTAAAATGAGGCAATGTCAACACATACAAAAGGAAATTAATTACAGATGTTTCCATTGCAAATCCTTGATGAGTCTCATAGCTGTGCATGCTTTATATGCTAGCTCAAAGTATACAGAGAGCTAGTGTCTGAATCATCTGTAGTTTCAAAAGCTCAAGAGTCATCAGTGCGTTCCCTGGTTGCACTAAAACTTCTCTTACTTCTTTCACCCCAGAGTAAAAGACTTTGAAGCTTACGATCACAAACAGTAAAAAAAAGAAAAAAAGTCATGCAGGACCAGATGGTCAGCACTGCATTTACTGAAGTGGCCTTAGAGTACGAAAAGAGGTATGACTGGAACACCATGTCCTCATGATCCGTAGCTGTCCTGTTTGTCTCTTAAAGTCACTACCAATGGAGGTAAATTCAAGCAGTTCTTCATAGGAATGTTATTCTATTTTGTACTTAGAAACACATAGACATAATTCATCAGTACAGCATTGGTTTTGCTCCCTGGAATGTGCTACAGATTATGTTGTGAAAACACAGAATACTTAGTGTGACATCTCAAGATTTCCACTAGCATCAATGGAAACCATATCGATGTGTAAAAACAGCTCCAGCCACTTGAACTGAAAATCAAGCAAAGTTTTTTCTCTGGCAGCATAAAAGTGCCTCCTCAAGGAAACAGTTGGAGAAGTCCAAATACAGAGGAGAGATGAATCTGAAACATTTTCTTTTACATTCTCAGAATACTGAGCATGCAAAATATGAACACTGTCATCACACTGAAATGTGTTGCAGTATTTAACGACAGCAGGCATAAATGACTGTCAAACCATTTCCATGTTAAGGATTGGGAAAGAAATGAATAATTCAGCTTTATAATGTCTTTTTGATGAAATTCTGGTCTCTTGTTCTCCCATGTACTCTTGCTTTTACACAGGACAGCAAGCACATTGACTGGCTTCTAAAAATGTGAGTACTTGTCCCTGTGCAGATTAGAGTATGCACGCTCTTAAGTTAGATATTTATTTATATGTCTGTCTGAGTGTTTTAGAAAATGTGGTGATCTCTGGCAAAAGGCAAAACTCAATACTCACAAATTCACCAGAAGAAGCAAATGGTCCTGGGGGTCCTGGTAGTCCAGGGAGTCCTGGAAATCCCTCACCAGGATCACCCTAAAACAGAATGATTATGAATTTGAACATATCAACTTATTGTTCCTTCACAGGAATAAGCTTTTTTCTCTGTGGAGCTGTAGACACAAGAAGCAACAAAAGTGTCTGCTTATACACCATTAAAGTTGTTCATATTTAAGACAAGCTCCTAAGAAAAATGATCTCTGCATTGGCAAAGAAAGCACTTTTTCATTTCTAACATGTCTAATGAATATACAAGTGTTCAGGCTGCATCAACACCATTAAACGTTATGTATTTCTTACCAGAACTACATTTTACTGTGTAACACAAGTTTTTAGCATACATTATATGCCATAAGTAAATAATTAAAGAAACAGAAAGTGTGGTCACACACTGGTTACACCTTTCTTCATGTTATTAATCCTATCTGTCATACTTTTTCCAAAACTAACATATAATGATTGCTTTTTCTATGTGTTGACCTTTATCTACTGCTAAGAGAAAGGATTGTCATTTTTTCTCATAATTGCTACAATTTCTTCTTCTCTGGCAATGCTTAGAGTACCTCTCACCTTGAGGTCTGTTCAAAATATTTCTGCTTAAAGTATTTATGAATCAAGATGTGAATCGTGACATTTCTGCATCAAAATTTCTGCTCAACTCTAACTTTACATCACTCAGCTTTAGCTGAGGTTGTGACTCAACATTTGGAGTCCTAAACTGAAAGTCTTTTATAAGGCTTTTCATTCTCAATGATGCACATCTCTTTATCCAGATAATTCATTAAAGCCAGATTTAACATTTGTGTTTAGATCCTTTTGGTAGGAAGAAGTGTCTTTGCATCCTCAAAACACAAGGCAAATGCTGTCATAAATACCTGCAATGTGAACAATGCAAAATATCACGCTTGCTTGATTGCTTGATGGGCACATTGTTGTCATCAAACGATTGGCCCTCTTTTCCTTTTCCTTTTCCTTTTCCTTTTCCTTTTCCTTTTCCTTTTCCTTTTCCTTTTCCTTTTCCTTTTCCTTATCCTCATGCTATTTATGCACCTAAAATTGAAGGCTTCCACTTGCTTTGTAGCTGGTATATCAAACAGCTGGAATACCAAGACAGGTGGATATAGTGCCCACTTCTCCCTCCCTGGTTGCCTCACATTTCTTGGCCTCGGCAGCAACCCCGAGTTGTGGTTGTGAGGAGTTTCTCAGTGTGAATTGTAAAGAAAGGGGAAGCTAGTAGCTCTTTGCTCATATATTGGAGCTTCCACAGCCATCAGGCTTTGGAAGTTCAGCCTTCATGTCACCACTGCCTGCATGTAGCAGGCATTTCTGCCCATCCCTCCTGAGCATGTAGAGCTGCAAGAGGTGATCTGACTCCCCAGCTTGCAGCAGGAGGAGGGGAACCAGCATGGATGACACTGAATCATCCTAAAGGGTGGAAGCCACAGAGAGGTTAACTACTCTTTTTGTTAGCCTCTAGGGATCTGTGCTTTGCCCTCAATCCTGCTAATCCATTATCCGGGATTACATCTCTTTCCAGGCATATGAGCATTTTAATTACATTCTCTAAATTAACATATTCAGCCACATAGCAGGAAACACAGAATTTCACCTGCTTCTTGGTCAGAGAGCTCTTTGTGTTTGAGAATTCATTAGATCAATGTATTCATTCACTTCTTTGTTGCCTGTAGCTTTGTCAAATGGTTCCTATAGTGATAGTTCAGTAATATACACAGGGAGTGTATTTAATTAATCTGTGGCTATTTTCACTGTCTGTCAGCATGTTCTTTTACAGATGCTGTTTATTTGCTTTAATAGATCCTTTGCTTTTTCAGTGACAGTTACATTAGTTCCTGTCAGGGTTTTGTGCTTTTTTTTTGCAGTTTCTTCTGCTTTGAATGTTTTATAAGGAAGAAAAAAATTCCCAATTTTCACACTGGGATCACAGTCAGGTCCAGAAATATTCCCAAGGAGCACTCCATGACTGTATCTTGCACTGAACAAAAATTACAGTAAAAAAAAAAATGACACCCAATCAAGGCTATCCAACTCCTCATCTTCTACTTGATGTGGCATGGTATTCTTCCCAGCTTTCCATCCTCAATGAGAAGCACCAGAAAAAGGCAGGTAGATCCTGCTACTGTTCCTCAAATTATAAATATTATTATATAAAAAACGTTCTGGGTATGTTCAGAGAATATAGCTGGTGTGAATATTTTTTTGTGTATAGATCAGTTATTTAAATTTTGCTCACCTTGCCAACATAACATACCTCAGTAAGCCATGCCGGCTGGGGTCATGAAATGATTTTCTGGACAACTTAAAACTTAAAAATTATCCCACGTACCTAAAAGAGGGCCAAAGCAGTGTTTTCTCCTCCTGCCCACTTACTGCTGCAGGAATTAGATTTAACTAAAATACACCCAAGAAAAAGCTCAGTAGATGAAGCTGTCAGTGTTCCTTAGTGTTTTTCAACATATTACTAGGATTTTTAGCACTTGTAAAACAATGCTTTGCACATATCCACAAAATTATTTTCATAGTACCACTTTGAAGTAACCCTTGAAAGTATTAGTCCAGTTATAGAATGGAGGATAAAGTTTAAGATGTCTTGACTAAAGTAGCAATATATACAGAAATCTTTTGCTCCTAGATCTATGCCACCTCCTAGATCTATGCCAGCTCACTAGGGATCAAGTGTCTCTTCTGCCAAAATATCCTAATTAGGCCTATTCTACCAAACAAAAAATAAGGCGAGAGACCATTCCTTCATCCTGAGGTCAGTTGGAACAGACTAGCTTTATTCCCAGTGTGCAACACTTGGCACTGGACCTTCTTTCAGTCCTATGTTTTCAAAGCTAATATTTTCTTTGAAGTTCTTTGGCTACAGTGAACTTGAAATAACATGAGAACCGCACTGTTGCCAATCAACAAGATCAGTATTGGCTAAAAGGTCTGCTGGGATAGCACTGGAAGAGCATATAGTATGGACAGAGACGAACTAAGCCCAGCGTCATTGTGTGGCATTCTAGGAACCTGTGCTATTCCTGACCCATGCCCAGGCATAGCCTGGGGGAGCTCTAGATGACATTGGCCAAGATGCTCTGCGGGAGCACACTAGCAAGAAAGCAGTATCAGCAATCCTGTCAGACACTAGGATGTTTTTACTTGTCTATGTAGATGGAACATGTGTTTCTGGAGGATACAGTCATTGTCTAGCAATACTTGTAGCTGAAGCATTTCCAAAATGACACTTCTGGTCTTTTTGCCCTTTGCTCTTAAGTAGAAGAAATGTAAACATCCCCATCTTGCAACTTTCTCCTGTTTTATTCTAAACAAAAACAATTTGGCTTTATGCTGGGTATACTAACATGAATTATTAATATTGATGCCAAGCATCTGGGAAATTACTCAAGTCTAAAGTGTGAACAAGCAGATTTCCTACAAATTTGGGAAAATAATTGTGAAACGAAATTAGGCCATTTTTTCTTTTTTTTTCACTATGTGGTTGACAAATACTACGGGGAAAATTAAGCCTTTGTCAGAGAAGCTATACTAGTTCTTCATGTAGCCTAATGACATGTCATATACTGCAGATATATTTTACTTTCTAAATGATTTTGGTTTCTTTTGAATTGAATGCATGATCTTTGTATGGCTTATGCTTTACGAATTTAGGAATTGCTTTGGTAAACAGTTGAAACAAGTGATTAATTTGGCCATGGACTAATTGGCTGAATGCCAGCGTTATGCAATTGCATGTGTTAATGATAGTTTAATCTATTATAGATCACCTCAGAAGCGATACAAGTTATCTCATTTCACTGTTATTTCAGCTTTATTCATTTCGTAAGACTAATATGATTACAAAGCTGTTGTTAAATTGCTTAGCCAGTGGAGTAAGTTGCGCAGTTATACATAACATCTGGCTTTATTAAAATATTAAAATATTTAAAAAATATTATTAAAAATATTTTACATGTCCTCTTTGAAAGCGCAGTGTTTTTTATACTCTTTTGGAATATCTTTATTGACTGGATTTTATGCAGATGGTCAACAGAAGGATACTTAAATTCTTCCTGTGATTTTTATTTTTTATTGATTTATTGATTTGTTGATTTGTTTTTCTGAGTGTGCCAAATAAATGCATGGCCAAGCAAAAAGGGTATTTGACTGATCAATGGAAAATAATAAGACACATACCTTTTGTCCTTTTAGGCCTGCTTTTCCTTTCAGCCCTGACAACCCTTGAAGTCCCTTTTTTCCCTAAAAGAAAATATATTTTAAAATTAGACATGATCTTTTTCATAAATCAGAGACTGCACTTTTACTTACAGTAGCTGGATGTAACGGTACTAGATTTTAAAGACTTGCTTAGGTACAGTGAGAGGAAACATGGAAATAAGAGCAGCAACTTCCAGCCTTAAGTACCTGTCAGAGCTGGAATGTGTCTCTGACCACATCTACCCTTCCCATATCAAAGCAGCAGTGAATCCTCCTGCAGCATTCCCCTGCTTGAGGGATGCAGATGGAAACACTTGGCAGGCTGTGTTTAGGTTTGATAGGATGCAAACTAGATGGACCACCCGGCACTGATCACAAAAAAAAAAAAAAAATCCCCAAACTATGTTCTCTTAGAATAAACAGTGACAGTTGTATAAGAAAATTCTTTTCCTTTCTCCATTTTGAAATTTCTTTTCAAATTTTCTCTTAGTCATTTTTGTATCTAGGAGCTAAGAAAGTGTCATTTGTTTCACAGTTGCTAAATTGCTAATAGCAGGAAGATTTCAAGCTAGAATTCTAATAAATTTCAAACTACAAAAAATGGACATTGGAAAGAACTCTGTTTTTAATTCCATATGGAAGTCATAATAGACCCCAGAGTGAGATATATTGGTAACATACTGCTCCAAAATGCTGCTCTGAGTGCCACAAATCATGCTATTGAAACTAGTTCTAGTTCCCAGCTTCTACTGAAATTCTTCTTGCCCTGATGTACCTGGATACATTTAGTTCCTACTGAGTCGGATGCTTCCTGAGAATATGCATTTGATGTGATGCTTAGTATTACACAGCATTTGGTCCCATTTTATCTCTAAACTCCAGTAGTCAAATTAATCCCAAATGACTTTACTAAATATGTTCATCTTATCCTTTCCTAATATGGCTATGCTCTTCCTAGACAGTCTTGAACATGGGCCAGAAAACTGCTACCAACTTTAAAGTCAGTGCTATTATAAAGCAGTACTATTTATGAGTTCAGTTAGAACACTGAAAAAACTCAGAAGACAAATGAATCACAGATTTATTTTACCTAATGGCATTTTGGCAGGACAGCTCTGATTCTGCTGCTCAAATCTTACTATTTGAGCTCATTTTAAAGATTGATTATAGAAACTTATTATGCATATAAATGCATATGTAAGATATGAGACTTTTTTTTCTACAGATTTTTTTTTCTTGTGGAATTACTGGTATTTGACATAATTTCAGACATAAGGTACTCAAACCTATGAAGACACAGACAAGTGTAAACCAACTGTGTGCTAATTTCATTTTTCAGTGAAGTCTCATCAATTTGATTGATGAAAAACTATACATGCAAAGCTAGTCCTCAACTACTCATCAACAAAACAGTATCTATAAAAAGTGCTGATCAATGTTTGTTTTCATAACAAAATTTCTATGATAGGATATAGCATTGTTTGCTGTATAAGTAACTATTGAGACAAAACAAACATGTCCCCGGGGTTCTTTGAAGTACTGTCCCTCTTTCCCTTTTCCTTTCAGAAAAAAATAATTGTTTGGGCCTGAACATCTTAGTACATCTGAAGAACTGTAGGGAGGATGGGGCCAGGCTCTTCTCTGTGGTGGCTGGTGATAGGACAAGGGTGTAAGTTGAAACACAGGAACTTTAATCTCCATATGAGGAAGAACTTCTTTACTGTAAGGGTGACAGAGCCCTGGAACAGGCTGCCCAGAGAGGTTGTGGAGTCTCCTGCTCTGGAGATCTTCAAAACCCGCCTGGATGCCACCCTGTGCCACGTGCTCTGGGTGTCCCTGCTGGAGCAGGGGGGTTGGCCTAGATGATCTCTAGAAGTCCCTTCCAACCTCAGCCCTTCTGGGATTCTGTGAATTTACTATAATGCATTCTCTCGTCATTTGCTTTGAAAATGTTCTGCTTGCATGTAGTCAGATATCTCTTAATAAAGAAAATGTAAGGAAATCTCATGTCCTAAGACAGAATAATGATACATACCCTGTTTATTTAGTTTAGGCTAAGTATTTGCAGAAGCAGCTGAATTTCTCTGAGCACACCAATGTGTTCAGACAGCATTCATGCATGAGCTGAAGTCATAATGAATCCCTGACTATTGATTCATTTTTTGAATATTTTAAAATACCATATTCATTTGAGAGTCACTTGCAGGGGGCAGAAATGGATAGGAAGTTTGCAGCAGTGGTGCATGGAGGTATAAAAAAGAAAGAGCAGGTAGCGGTAATTGGGAATGGATGGATGGGGCAGGTGACAGCACTCATTTCTTCAAAGGGTTGAGAAGAGAGGATCGTGTGGATAGATACTATCATCTGACATTAGAAGCAGGGAACACGGGAGTATGAGGTACCTCCTTATTGAGAGGTAACAAAACGGGCCATGCTCTGAATGTGCCTTCTTTCTTTCAGTTTCTCTCTGCAAAAAAATCCACCCACCTTCCCTGCCAGTGCTGGATTCATTGTAGATGTACTTATGATAGGTCATGTCTCTTATTTTCTTTGCAACTGGGACACCACAAATTTCTCTTATAAATCTGGGTGCTCCTCTGTTGGCAGCCTGAGGGAGTTAACAGATGGGCTCTCTTAACTAGAGCTTTCAAGAAAGCAGCTAGTGAAAGCACTTCACTGCTTAAGCTTAAACTTAGCTGAACCCCTGAGAAAAGATACCTTTTCTTTTTTTCTTCAGTTAACCAAACGTTTTACAAAACGATACTTACTGGTAATCCACTTTTACCAGGGATGCCCTAAAATAAAACAATTTTTTTATTAGAAATGTAAATAAAACATTGTAACCAAAAAAGGAGGAAAACAAACAAACAAACAAACAGTTAGCTGCAATAATAAAAAAAACGATTAACTGATGTATATATCAAGCCAGGACAAAATCGGGAAGAAATTGAGCAGAACTGGGAACAAATGTTATATTCAATGAGATCTGTGTTGTACCTCAATATAATTGGATACATATTGTGTTCTTGATCAAGAAGGAGAGGAGGTATAAAACAATCTTGACATTCAGGTCCAACTAAGGACAGGGAGACAGGGTGGTAGGAGGGTGATACAGCAATGCAAAAGGTTGCCAAGGGAGACTGCAGAATTTTCTATTTTAAGAAAGTTTTCAAGACAAAACTGGACAAAATGGCTATATATATCTATGGTCAACATAGTCTAGTGTTGAAGATAATCCTTCTTTCAATGGGAAGTTTAAATGGGGAGTTCCATTGAACCCTTTAGATGTTGATTCACCAGTAGTTTGCCTTGGGTTTTCTACAAATTCTCTTTCACTGGGCCCTTGTATAATCATTGACACATGAGGATAGCAGATGTAACACTCCTGACTTGATCTGGTGGGGCTAAAATATCATCTTGGAGAATTACCGTAGATGATGGCAATATGCAGGACCGTGAAATTTCAGTCCTTTATATGCAGGTAATGAATGACTTACCCTTTCAAAAATACAGACAATACTCACAGGTTGACCATCTTGGCCAGGTTTTCCTGGAGATCCAGGAGGTCCTTGATCTTTTTTCTCCATCTCGTCTACTCCTGACCCTTCTGGAGGTCCTGTGGGCCCATTCTCTCCTTTCTGACTTTTCTGGTCCTGAATAAACAAAATATAAAATACGTATTGTATTACTTTTCTTTCTTCTTTTTTTTTTTTTTTCCCCTAGAATCCCTATTCTTCTCAGATTCACAGCCCTTTAGGCACCGTGCAAATAATGTACTGCATGCAGCAAAGATAGTCTGTATTATAGACCTTACTGCCAAGTAATAAATTGATCATCAATTTAAAAAGAGAGAGCATCGAGCTACCTAGATGCAAATGACTGTGATCTAATTTCATATTCATATAAATAGAATACAGTGTCAATCAATAATTTGTATAAGCATATCTGGATAAGAATAATTTCTCAGACTCAGTTTGTATGGGAGAAAAAATCAAGGTTGAAAGAGATGTGTAGGAATGCTTTAGCAGATTCCCCTAAGAGGTACAACTAGCATAAGAAGGATATGCATCCAACTTGGTTAAAAGAGAGGGCACCATATCTAATCTGGTCAAAAAGGAAAGGAAGGGAAGATAAATTGAGAAAGCTGATAGCAAAGAGTAAAAATGGGCAAGAACCAAACACAAAAGATTGCTATACATCCCTTATCAGTATTTGACCAGCAGAGAGTAAGCACTGTAACAGAAATAATCTCCCAGGAGCAAACTAAACTCTTTCAGTGGTGAAGCACAGATGCTAATATAGATAAATTTTAAAAGGAAATTGCAGAACCGACAGAACATTTAGTCAATTTTTGTCCTATATTTTGAAAAAAAAAACACCAGAATTCATTAACTTTTTCAAGAGTGAGATGTCTCCACTCATATTACTAGTTAAAGTAGCTAATGTAACTAGAAGGGATGTAATATAGCAATTATTCAAACATTTTAATGTTGCAAGATAATAGTTTACATCAAAGAAGTTGTTAACTGATTTTTAAAAAGCTTTGCGAATCACCAGTACAGGGTTTTGTTATCAGGAATGTTCCCAAAGACCAGAGATAAAAAGGAAAATGGTTAGGTGAGATCCTAGCTAACCAAGTTGTGGGTAAACTCATAATGTGCATGAGACTGCAGGAAGGATACATACAGGATGTCACCAGTACAAAACTGAAGAGTGAACACATAGTGAACACATTTTTGTCTGATGAAAAGTCAAAATTTTCTTTGTGATATGAGGTTGATAAAAGCAAAGCTACCTATTTGACTTTAACAACTTTTCCTTAGGGGCATCTGAGCTCTACATAATGTGGAGAAAATGTAGTGCCAAATCACTCCGGCCCAGATTAACTGGATTACAAACTGTGTAACTGGTAGAGTGAAGAACAGGTAAAATACAAAACTCCAGAAGATGCAAACACTTCTGCTATGCACTCACAGAGGCAAGTTTTTACCACAGTAACCAAAGGTTTTTTGAAATTTATAGGTTATTCGTTAACATATTGTACTGCAAACTTGAGTGCCTATGTAGCGAAGAGGATGAAGAAATTGGAATAAGTTCTAGCACTGCTTACAGATGACATGGATAACTATGTCTGGCAAAACTACTGGTCAGAACAGATTTAAGAAATTCAGGTTTTCAGATTAGTTGGTGGGGGGGCACTCAAAAGACATGCCAGTAATACATATTTTGGACATGGACTCTTCCAGAGTTTAGTGCATATTCATATCAGTTTTCTGTTTGGATTAGCATGATAAAGGAGCAATCTAAAAAGCACTTGATGCTTCATAAAAAGCACAAGACTGAGCACTGAAGAATATGTAATTTTAAATCTTTTATATGTTAAAGAATCATGTATTGAGAATTAAACAGGTCGTTAAGGATCATGAAGCAATTACTAGGAGTTACATCAAGATGTTTGGTTTTATGGAAGAAAAAGTGTGAGATTCTGTAAAGAGAACTTATGCTGATTATTTTCTTTCTTCCATTCATTCTTTCAACATTGAATTTCAAAACAAATTCAAATTTCCATTTGCCATTCAAAAATCTCAAGCCAATCTCAGTGACAGAAGTGGCTGTACATCCAAGCTTCTGCACAGTGTGTGTGTGTTTCAATCTCACGTCATGAGAGGAAATCCCAAGAATATAAGAAACAACTTGTGTGTTGGCATGCTGCTAGGTTAGAATAGATAAAGACACCGACTCAGAATAGCACTTTAAAGTTCATATGTTTTTCTGCTCCTGAGACAAAAGGATAAATCCGCTGTACAGACCTTCCCATTGCTCACTCCTGGCAAAACAGTAACACCAGAGCCAACATCTTCTCTTAATGTTTCCTGTGTGACAGAGATAGTTTCACTGCTGCCTTGTCCAGCTTCTGTGACTGTTGAATCTGAACAAAAAATTCTTTATTAATGAAGGACAGAGCAAAATAACATGCATTCAAATATATCTACCGGAGCATAGATGCCGCAAGCAGTTTGAAAGAAGAAAGATAGTACTTAATTTTGGCCAAAATATTGAAAGAGAAACATGCCAGGGATTAATATCAGTCATTTCATAATTCTGAAGATTTAAAGAGAAAGAAAAAAAGAGAGAAAGGAGAATAAAATTACAAAGCAAGTACTTATTTTAAGGACAGACAAAGCCAAGAGACTGTACTGCTGTATTGCATCCTCCTCTTTGTCTCAGCCTCTTACCTACTGGTTGCCTATATTTCACCTGCATAATGTTATACATGAGACATATGTACAGCAGGCACTATTTGATATATAAATGAAACTTAAATAAGTACACAGTTTTTGATCTGATTAAGGTAACTCATTTTAGTCGCTGCTCTCTAAGAGTGCACAAAAATTATTTTACTGGCAGAGGACCAGGGTTCTTCAATATGCTGTATCCTAGGTTTTTCACTTTGTTGCCTACACTTATCTACAAAATACCTGCTATGTACTAGGCAGATTCAAATCTTTTACAGAGATCATTACTGTGATATATTCATACATTCAAATTAAATATCCATGTTAAATTCTTTCTAAAAGAGTAACATTACTTTAGCAATAGTGCAGTAGCACTATTTACAGAAGTTCTTCCTAAGACATGCAATGTTTCCTGCTAATTTTAGTAGAAAAATCCTTCCTTTCCTTCCTTTTGTCTAAAACACCTGCATATTTTTGGATGCTTTAGAGTATCTCAGCAGCAGCATGGAAGGTAATCTTGTCTTGTTATGACATTATTACTGTAAGAGAACTTCCCAAAATGAGAGCTTTAAAAAATTGTTTTGTCCTTGGTTTTCTTGCTTAAAATACAAACCATAGTTCTGTGATTAAAACTTCCATACCATGGAAGGATAAACCTCTTCTCTGCGTGTCAAATGATAATGGCTGAGATGATAAACATCTCTACTGAGTAAAAAATGAGAAGTGGAAGAAATGGGCCGAAGGGTGGCTGTAGTTTCCATCACTTTTGTTGCTATGATCAAATTACCAGTTATAATCTGATAGTTTGAAAGACCAAATGTTTGACATGCCAATTCTTTTCTAAGATGTAGGATGCCAAAAGTAATTCTTGGAAGCACCAAGGAAGTTACAGGGGCTTTTCATGTACAGGAAAACTACAGACCGTGACCTAGAGAACCTAAAAAGACCCCCCGCCCCGTAATTCCACCCAAAAGAGGCAGTGCCTTGTTCATTAATTTTAGCTGGTTCAGTTGTTTCTTCTGATATGTGATGTCCTGAGAAATCATTTTCTTCCAAACGGGACAATACAGTTGGGGGAGCTTCCACAGGCTCAGCTGATGCATCTTCAGGCTAAAAAAATGTAAAATCCCAGAGAACTATTTAGAGAAAAGGTTTATCACATGTTTTAAAGCATGAATCATGTTACCTTCCTCAGAGTTTAGTAATCAGAAATACTACATTTATTTACATTTTCCCTGCTTGAGCAGGGGAGCTGGATTAGGTAATCTATAGAGGTTCCTTCCAGCCTCAACCACTCTGTGAAGCAAACAGGAAGGTCAGATCTCTCCAACACAACATCATCTTGCAAGTAAAGAAGATAAATAAAACAGCAGTAGGACAAAGATTTAGATGTTTCCTTTTGAAGCATTTAAAAATGAAGCTACATAATGTAAAAAAATACGTAATATTAATAATTATCATCCCAAAATCTAGTTTTCTGCACATGCCATAGTTCAGTCTGGATCCCATTTCTTCAAGATCTTATTCAGTTTGAAGAAGGAAAAGCTTCTGGAAGAGCAGGAAGTTTGGTGAGATGACCTTCGAAATTGCCTTCTGACCTGAATTATCCTGTGATCCTAAGATCTTATTCTATAAGTTAATAAAATTGTAGAAACAGAGAGGAGAGTACAGGCCCTGTGTGAGGAAAGTCTGTGAGTCCAATAAACTCAAAATGTCCTTGAATACCCATGTACGACATCCAGAGTAGTATATGCTATATGTTTTCTGAAATACCTATAAATGAGACCTGCCAAGCGATTTTTTTTGGCCTGAATAAATAATTAACAGAGAAAATACATCAGAAAAAGTCTTCATGATGAGACATGTCTTCTACAAGTGATAAATAAAGCCTTTTCTGCTGATTCACTGACATAAAAGTTATATAAAGTCCACGAATTGAAATATTCTGAAATAGGCCAAAGAATACTAACCATTCCTACCTCACAGTTTAACAATAATACAAATCAGAGCATACACCATACAGTGATAAGCTTCTTTATTCAGCAGTTATATTTCCAAGTAGTATTTTCAAGATTTGTTTAATTCCAGCTCAGAAACACAGTTTGGTTTCAAGTGCTGATTTAGGGAATTTGTTTAGCAATTTTTCAGAGTAGAATATGACTATAAACTTCCTCAGCAACATCTATAAATGACTGTATTGATTATTAATTTTTCATTCATTTCTCTGTCTCTTATTTAATATTCCTAAAGACTGTGTTTAGTATTCCTAAAGACATGGTGTTTCCTGTTAAAACACCATGGGTACTTGCAGAGGAAGACTTACAAATCCTGTTAGTCATTGGCATTTAAACATTTCATGCTTGATGTAAGCATTAAACACTAAACACGTTGCTAAAAGAAGCATAATGCATACATATTTATTAACACACTAGTATGTTTTTTGAAGTCCTCAAGTATTTTAAATTAAAAACAAAGATTTTAGAATTATGATTATGATTATTTGGTTCAGAAACCTATGCAAGATAAACTATGGGGTGATTAGCTCACACGAAGTGTCACTGTAATGATAACTAGGACTCCATATAGCTTCTTCATTGTTTCTACCTAGTCCAAAAACATGACAAGTAACTAACAAAAACGTGTCTGTAAAAATGAATAAGAACAATGGAGAGTCTTCTTTCTTTCTTGCTGCTTAAGAGTGATAAATTGAGAATAATTGGCATTACAGAATAATGGAAAAGGAAACTCCAGGGGAGTCGGATATGACAGAGGTTCATCTCAACCTCACCTATTCAGGGATAAATAAGACAGACCAGAAAAGAGTTTAAGCAGCTATTTGCAAAAAAAACATAAAAATAATTAAAATATATCTTCTCAAAAATTTCAGGAGAAGGAAGTCAGGTCAACAAACAAGTTGTAAAAGAAGTGCTCAGAGAAGGTTAAACCATAGTAAAAAAAAAAATGAAATTTTGCATTCATGTTGATGATGGGAGAGCTAAAGCATCCTGCAAAAAGATATTCATGATAGACTCAGCTGAGATTTTTCTAAAATTGAAGTCTTTGTAAGAATAGGTTAGGAAACACACCAAATGAATGGCAACAAATCATCATGATTGGTTGGTATTTGCCCAGCAGTTATAAAGGAACTCAGTAATGAAACAGCTGAGGTAGGTACTATACTGGGGAAATGTCAGCCTGTTTTTCTGTAAAAGAAGCTATTTTTCAGGAAACATCCTGATTTACCTAAAAGGAATCAATGAGAATAAGAAAGGCGTGCTTGGTACATGAACATCTGAGCTTGGCACAAAATGGGAAAGGGGACAAAGTATGAGCGAAATCTCTAAAATCATAAGTGTTATAGCTAGTTAGGAACAAGTATTCACTTTGTCTTCTATTAAAAGCTAAAGAACTCTATGGCAGGACAGTGGGGATGCTAAAATTCCTATAGGTTGAAAAAAAACAACCAAAAAGTTCAAGGAGGAAAACTCAGCTGAGGTTCACTAAACCAATACACTTCTATACCAGGCATCTCTTGAGATGGAAATTGCTTCAGACTTGTGGAATTTTCTGGGGAATTATCATATTCGCATTTTTTCCCTGTTCCTACAGTCTTCCCCATAGCATTGTCTGCTGTTGATCATCCATCATTCTAATGCAGGTTATTTTAGCCACATCTGTTGTAGAAGTATAAGAATTCTGGAGATATCGAAGTATTTGGAAAAGAACATGGCATTGAGTTACCCTCCATATTTGGATTACTGACAATGAATTACTCTGCACAATCTTTCTTTAAATTGGATATTCTGGGGGCAAGTTCTTCCGTGAAAGGTTGCATTATGTTCCCATAATGACTATTAAAACATGATAAAGCTGAATAAATCAAATAAATTTACCCTTATGGGAAGATGAGAAGGTGAAAACACTTCTTCTGTCTCAGGAATACCTTCTTGTTCTTGAACACTGCCATTGCCACTCATGTCTCCTGAAGCCTGTGGAAAAACAAATCATGATAACAAGTTCATAAAAGTTCAGAGGAAAAAAAAGTATCTCCAAGGTGTTTGCTATTTTAATGGTGTTACGACTTAGTTATCATTTTTCTTCAGGAAGTAATGCCTTAGTCTCGTTATTATGTTAACTGTTCTCTGTCTGGATGTCATAGTTCACGTAGTCAAAGGTGTTATGGACAAAAGAAAAATATGCTCTTTGAAAATCACAGTTATAGGGACTGTATTGAAGAAAAAAGAAGTTGCCACTCACATATAAAGTATTGCAGGATATTCTCAGGAAAAAAATCCTGCATTTAGTCTTATTTAAAATGTCCTATGGCAGGTGATTTTGAAATCTACTGGCATTGAGAACAGATAAAGACATCCATGCAAATACTCACGTAAGGATCATCATCTTCACATTGGTCTTCAGTAGCCCTTGGGTCAGATTTGATTGTCAGATGTTGAATAGAGCCCTACATGAAGCAACAACAGCAAAAAAAGGAAGTAATATTCTAAGTAGCATGTATGAAGAAAAAAACTGTCAGCTTTGGTCTGGCTTGCTTTGGAAATTATCTGAAGCATGAATTTGCAAAACAAAAAGCTCATTTTTATAATTTTTTTTCTTTTTTTGCTCTGTTTTTGGAAAATATGAAGAAATTTGGAACTCGAAATGCCAAATAGTACAATAAATTTCAGGAGCATCAGTGATGTATGGAAGCAGGAATAATTTGATACGCGTGTGCAGATTGAATGTAAGGTATAAGAAACTCACCTGGGCACACACTATATTTTTTAATGGAAGTATAACTACATCCTAGAACCCTTTACATGGTGCAAAGATAATTAAGTTGTGTTTGATCTGCTGAGTACTGTCACGAGTGCATAGATTTGCCTCTGAGAGATACAAAAATTGTGTCTTGGCAAGGAAAACTGCAATAATTATTGAGATCAGGAGAGTATTGTGCTTTGTTGTGGTTGCTTAATGACACAGAAAATGCGAACTCCAGCACAGCAGTAGCTACCATTTGTACATGCTGTTATGTCTGGTTTTCTAGTTGACCGTTTTCCCTCTGCATCTGATCTCTCCCTGTCCTAGAAGCCTTGGGAAATTATTAGCAAGGGAGTATTTTTGAGACAGCGCTTCTGGTGGCTTTTAGAATGTTTCAGAAGAGAACAAAAATCGGAGATTTTCTTTTGAACTATCTATCCTCTAATTTCTATAACTTCAAAAACCATGGAACTCATGATGTTTCCTGAGTTTGCAGACAATCTGAGATAATAACACTTATATAATATAAGTATATAATATGTAAGTCTATAAGTATATAAGTCTATAATAACACTTCAGTGATCATTTTATTTCCGTCAAAACTCAGTAATGGGCCACTGAAATACTGAACAGTGCAAAAATAATGGAATGGTTCCCTGACAAATTACATATGAAAGGAGGCATGATCAGAGACTTCAGCAGTTTTTGAAAGTGATAGTTCATTTTCACAGGATTCATATCCATTCATAATCTCATCATTTGAACAATCTGCTGTGAATTATTTCTGTTTTGGGCATCCAGAGTAAGCAGTTCTTGTCATACAGAGAGAATCAACAGTTTTTCTACCCAGAAGCAATTGCAACATATGATGCAAGACAAAATAACCTAGAATAAATGTCACAATTAATGGACCTGAAGCATTTAGAGGATAATGGATCAAAATTATGTACTCCATGTAGTGCACAGAACTACCTGTTTCAGTGGAAATGCTTATTTTGTGCACTGTGCATTTCTATTGCCATACTTACTGATTCGGTTCCTGAAATCATCACTAATAATCATCACACATTTTCCAGGTGGAGTACCAAAATTTTGTTAAATATTTCTCACTCCTACTTATTAATCAAGCTTTCCCAATAGTCCACTCATCCACTCCTACCTGCGACGAAAGGTAGCCCCAGTGGGCAGTTTTGTCATTCCTTATTAGAGCTCACAACCTATAAAGATACTTGAGCTTTGGAGAGAACATTCTCTTTTTCCAAAGCAAAGGATCTGCTCAGATTTGCACTACTGTTTTACTAATCTAAGAGACACTAATCTCACAAAATTTTATCTACTCTACGGCGGAGATACAAAAACAAGAAAAAATGGTGACGTGCATTTCAGTTTGGCAGCTTGCCAAAATCTTGCACTTCGACAGCTTTTGTATTTGCATTTGGAAGTTGAGTAGTGGAAAATTCCAAGCTAGACCCAACAGGAGGATGCTTTCATTCAACCTCTTAGGGCGCAGGGGCCTTGTAGTAATGGTTAGGTCTATTCAATTTTTCTAGAGTACCTAATAAGCTTCAATTATAATAAATATAATTAAATATAATAAATAAATTATAAACATAGCTTCATCTTCCAACTCACTTGATCTCTGATATACTTTCTTGGACTGATTTGCATATAACTCATAATATCGATATCTTCTTGGAATTTCTTCTGGAATAACTTAACTAATAAGAGTTTCAAATTTTCCTTTACTCAATCTCAACATTGAGGTCTATAGCTGGACCATTAAACTTTGGAGGTTCTAACAACATAATAAACCACAATTCTTATAAATCTGCACTGCCCAAAACCAATCTGGTATGGAAAATGTAAGTTATATAATTTGTATCCTAAACTTAATTTAGGATTTAAGCATTGCAAGCAGAATTTCTCAGATACAGGGTAGGTATGTACAGCACTGAGACATGTGAATATGTCAGATGGTACTTACTGTGAATTTTTCTAGTCCTGTGGCTCCTGCATTACCAACAAATATACCAGAGCCAGATTCAAACATCAAGGCTCGATCTGATCTCTGAAATTGAACCCTCTGATATTCTTCACAGTCCATGAACAAAGCAATTTCATTTCCTTGAACAGTCACTGTAAACCTATTCCACCTGTTAGTCATCACGGGCACTTTAAATGAAGCAGCCTCTCGGGAAATATGGGAACCAGGCTCTGTGTAGTACATAATTATTCTCTGGGTGTTGTCATCAACGGATGAAAGTCTCATTCCCAGGTAAATAGTTTTCTGAAAGGCATCTGTTATTGCAAATAGTACTCCTCCACGATCACTGTTGGGTTTCACTGTAACTACGATAGCGAAATCTCTGTAGAAAGGCAGTGGTACTATAGCACTTGTCAATCTGCCGATGTTAGCATCCGGGCCAAAGCTGTAAGCTGGAAACCCTCCATAGCCAGTGATAAAGTAGACAGAGGGAGGGAGAGGAACTCCTATTAATTCTGTGAGATCAAGATGTCCTTTTGAGCTTCGTTCTGTGAAGTGTGAAAGAAAAAAAATGTTATTTATTCATGCAGTTTATGTAATTTAAATGACTTAATACAGGCCTTAAAAACTGTAACGCAGTGTCACAATACCAGTAACATGCTGCTAATACATTAGGCTCCAATCCAGTTAGTGCTAAACATATGTCAAGCTAAGTATGTGCTTGATCCTTTGACTCAAGAAGGTCGAGGTTACTCATATGCTAAAGAACAACAGATTTAAACATTTGATGAAACTAAGTGGTAACGAGCAGTTCCTACAAAAGATCTTTTACTTTAGCTGAAAGCACTTGGGAGAGTATATTCATCTGAAGCTAAGAATCTTTTCTCAAACAAACAGAAGTCTGTTATGCTCACAAGCAAAGGAGAAAACAAGAATTCTGCACAAACAGCGTTATACAATTTCACAGATACAAAAGAAAAAAAAATCACAACTGTATTAGATTTGCTTCTTCTAGGGCAGACTTTAGCATTTCTGCTTTTCTGCCTTCTCTCATAGCAGATGTAAAGAATATGTCTGAAAGAGTTACATGTGGTGGTGAGGTAGCCACACAGCCTCTAAACCACTAGCGCTGCAACTACTGGTATTCCCAAGGCATTAGTAGTCTCTACATCAGGAAAGTTGCTTAAGATGCTTGTCCCCAGACAGCACTAAACAAAGGTAGTTTGCTTAAATGACCACCTCAGTACCAACACAATATGTGGAGAAATGGTGCTACTGGAGGTAGTCTGGCACTGCAGAAATTTGAAGGAAACAGGACCTGAAAACAACCCACCTGTTTGGAAGCATGCTAGTGACTAGAGGTAGGAAACAGTCCCCAGGCCTGTTGTTTTTTTGTTTGTTTGTTTGTTTGTTTGTTTTCCACAGCTACTTACAGAAGCTAAGAACAGGCTGCCAATCTGCTTCACGATAAACAGTCATAAGGCACATGGAGCTGAGCTTACCCTACCTGAGAGGGACGATACCTCCCCAAATTTTGCCATGTTTCTCCATAAGATGATCTGCATTTCACCAGCAGTCCATGTACCACAGTCATGGAATGAGTTGAAGTTTTGTAGCTCCACAGAAAAACACAGGATATCCACATATAATTATGAACAACTTTTGCCTCAGAACTGGTAACATCTGGTTTTCTAGGGTCTGTTTCCACACAGTAGCTGAACACATCCTGCTAACCTGGGATACCTCAAGTTTTCCCTGCTGTAATCAGGACCTGCTCCTGTCAGCCCCCAATGCCTGTAGTACTCTTAGACCCCTAAATCAGGCGTGATAATCTGCTATCAAAAAGGATAAATTTGATAGTTAACCTCTCACCATAGCTTTTTTTTTTTTTTTCTCATTGAGACACTAGTATACTGCTCTCATATCATGAGATTGGGGCTTTCAGGCCATGTAACAGGGTATGTATCAATTAGCTGCTTACAAAGAGAGCCAGTTATACAGGGAAGACTAATGGAATGAAATTAAGCAGAATAGGAGGAGATTAATTGAACTGAATATGAGGAAAGGCCATTTCTCTGCCTGCAGTGCAACCCTACAAAGAGGACAATGACATTCCCCCAGGCTGGCAATTTAAAACCATACTGTACAAAAAAATTAAAAATGTACTGTTGGGAGTCTCAATGTACTGTTTCAAAGTTATTGATCATAAAATGCCTTTTAATCTTCATTCCATCATTTGTAAGCTATCCCAAGTTCTTTGATGCACTGTCTTTTCACTTTTAAATATCCTCAGTTATCACAACTTCAAAAAGCTATTTAAGCCGAGAAAATCCACGTGGAGCAGCAATGCAAAAGGTATGATATTGCATCTGAATATGGCAAACAAAATGATCTGAAAAGCTTTGCTTAAAACACCCCATTAAAATCCAGGTGAAACAAATGTATCTTACATTGAGCTCAGCAGCTTGGCTTCCAATGAAGAAGTGGAAGGAGGATCTTTGCCTGAAATGTAGGGCTGCTATTCATTATTCATATGCTGTGCCATCCGGGCTGTGTGAAGCTGAGTGCTCTCCCTTCCTCTAATGGCTGGGAAACAAGTAGGAAAATGTTCTCCCTGCACCAAAGTTTCCATAGTCAAGTTTAAATCAGGCATCATTGTTGCCTTCATGTAAAGAAGAAGAATTAGAATCATTAGAATTTTTCTAGTTAGGGAGTCAGGTAATCAAGAGCATCATCAACCATGAAGGCCAGGCTGCTAGAACTCACAGACTAACAAGACAGCTCTAAAAGGTTTGAAAGAAAGAAGGAAGCACTTTTAAATGATTAATTTCAGTGTCTTTCAAACAATATGAATGCAAGACCATGAGTTGGCATTGTGAGAGCAGGAAAGTGAAAAACATAATGAACAATTTTTTTTTTTTTGAGAAATCAAGATATCTAATCTCACACAGAAAAGAAAGAGGTATGTAAATGTTAGTGCCT